AACTGACACCATCTAGTGTGCCGCGTATTCGCTTTTTGACCTATTAAATTACGTACCCACCTCTGTGGTTCGGATCGGGTCTTTATCGTGTAGTGCTGTGGAATGGGTTAGTGCAAAGTACGAAATGCCAAGTAGGACCAGGTTATCCGTCATAATTCGGCTGAGGAGCGAGGTTGGGGGTGAACCGATGCCGCACCAGACCACGGATACACTCGGTATGTGCTGGTTTGCCTGTATTGGAAGTATCATAGGCGGAACCAACAGGCGCGATGAATTGGTTTGGACCGAAATTTGGAAGTATACTTCAACAGCGTGATTAGCCGGAGTATAGGAAACATCTGTTGATATGTCAGAGACGGATGTGGGTACAGGGGTTGTTCTACATGCTGGAGAAAAGATCCAAGGTATTCGTGGAGGGTCCAGATGCCATGGAAGTCGTGGCGCTTCTGTAGTAGCTGGAGGAGATCAGGGCGAATAAGAGGCAGTTTTGGGCCTACCAGGATGCATTGGATCAGTTGCTGGATGCAGGCAAAGTGGCTGGTGGTGATTTTTTGGCCACCGGGGCAGACAGGGCAGAGACAGCCGTCAGTGCGGTAGTCGAGCAATGTACGTATTTGTTACAATCGTAGCAAAGAGCCGGATTGGTGTAACATAGGCACTAATTATATGGTAGCATACCAGACACATAACATGTGCTGTCCCCCATCAATGAGGAAATCCCCTTGCCCATCACCAGCGACCCAACCCCCGGGGGTCAAATCAACGAGCCTGTACACACGACCACCCACGTACATGACCTAGCCCATGAACCAATGTTTCAGCAGGAAGAGCTGCGCATTCAGGCCTATCACTATCAACGCCACCTAAATGTAACACCGACCAGCCACTAACACGTGCCACTTGCGTGGTCTCTAAGTCTGTAGTGTTTCCAGACTCCTGTCCTTCTTTCGCATTAGTGTAATGAGTGCGCTCGTGTGCGTTTGATACACCTGACTTATTTAATATTCGCATCCATCCTGTCAGTAGTCACATGCATATCTAGAAGCTCTCTTGCCAATAGTAGTTGGTAATCGGGCACTATATTAGAATTACTATATAAGAATCGGCTTGCACAAACTGAGTCGGTCAGGCTCAAGTCCATACGAAAGTCGTGTATGCGCATCTCCCAAGATCTTGTAAAGTGACCATCTTCTATGCTGATAGTATTACTGCGGAGGTTGTTATTTATATTGATTGCAGCTCGCCCTTTGTTATATTAGTCACTGTAAACACAGGGTACTGTATCTGATACCTATTTTGATTTGTGTACCTATACATTTTCTCTCCGGTACGATGTACTACACCGTACGTTGCCGCGAACAAGCCTGTATACTGGGCATCCTTAAATGCAAGAATATAGAAGTCGTTCTGCCCCTGAACAGCCTCTGTAGTATAATCAAAAGCACCTTGTAGAGTGCCGACACTAAATAGTGGTTTATCGGCCATGAGAATCTTGACTTTCTCGCCGGGAATCCCTTTTGGCCACGTTGAACGCTTTTTTGCGATGAACATACCATACAGGTCGAAGTTAAAACGTAGAGTATATTGAGCACTGAAAAGCCGTTATCCATGATAACGTTTCGGCCCGTACCTCTTATACCATCTGTCAACCGCATAACAAAGATACTGTAGAAAGCGTCTTGTTCTCTGTGTGATGCTGCGGTGGTAGATACTCAGGATAAATTTTAGTTTCACATAAGTCAACGCAAAAAATGATATTGGTTGCACAGCACGCGATAGTTTTCCATTCGTTGCCAAACTGTTTAGGTTTACGAGGACAATGAATCTGGGCGTACCCCATAGGGTTATCCCAGCCCATCATTGTCTTGTCAATGCAAACTTTATCGCTGCAGAACAAATTCTTGTCCATATTTCTGTCATCATTACGTTCTTCCGGGGTAACCGGAGCCGAACTCAATCGTAAGTACTTCTGTATATCTATGTATCGCAATTTAGACATATACTTGCCGAAGTAGGGAAGAGGATCGAGGGGGTCACGACTCAAGTCCCAGAACTCTTCCACCTTCTTGCTATAATACTTCGCCATTAGCAAGCGAAGTGCTAATCAAACAAAGTACTCAGATACATCAAACTCACGTTTACCATTCGTCCGCAACGCTACATTTGTGGCTGCTATGAGTATGTTCTTCACCCATGTCATAGGTATTAGGTGCTTAAAAACGTCAACATAGAGGCTTCGTCTTTAATGTGTGGTAGACGAGCGCTGATGTTTCCAGCGCCATGCTTCTCGCGCTGACATATATTGACGTCTTGCAGGTCTTGTTCGATAAGCACATCTTGTGTCGACGTCCACGTCTCTAATTTCTATTCCACTTTGTATTCCATTTCTGTCCACCGAAACTTCATCCGCAGTATGATCCACGACACGAGATGTGTTTCGTCGAGGTGCCCGTGCTGGTAGATGTTGGTGTTGTGTCTAGATTATGTGCAGGAATATGTGTCGTTGTGTGAAAATCATGCTCTGTATTGATAGAGTCTTCTACGTACGCTACGTGTTCCATTAGGATTTATATTACTTTGTACAGTTAAAGGCTCTTCTGAAAGACCTAGAATAGATGCCATAGAAAAAGCTCTTCTATTCTGCACACCAGACACGCCTAATTGCCTTCCTCGTCATGTCGTAGTAAACACTGCAGTTGGTGCGACAACAGTATGTGTTGCAGGTTTTAGAAAACATAATGTAAGTATCAGCAGCTGTAGATGATTGCGATGCCTCATCAGTTGTAGACTATTATCTCATGTCTGACGGTGCTAAATCTTGGATTACACGGGTATGTGCGTCGCTATTTAACTGTACTCGTTCATGGATCATAACGCTGGGATCCAAATCAATCCGACCTACTGTGTTCTGCTCGATGTTTGTCAGATTTTTCAG